GTTCTGTAATTTATTTATCTACACAATTTAAAATAGGTTGTATAGCCTGAAATCTGTAATTTTCACACAATTTGGAACAATTTTTTACAAAGAGCAAATTTTTCCCACTAAATTGGTCATGTTGTGACAACCTGCTCATTTTTTTTTGCTGGTTGCACTGTTTCCTTTCTCTCTCTACCCCTCCTGCCCTCATATTTTGGGATACGCCCTGGTTTTCACCGTGCTTTTCAGAGACTCACCTCATTGGTTATCAGAGCCAAGGTGTTTCTCTGACAGGTGGAATGGCAGTCTTCCTCTAGCTCCGGGGATAGTAACACCTGACGCCGTCAGTCCGTCAGACTCCCACACTAAAGCCATTTGGGGCTGATCCGAGGCTGTTTCATCCCTCGTATTTTGCTTTCAGCACCTCTGCCTTGTTGGGTAGTTTAGAGATCCCCATATTCAGCTACAAAGAAAAGTTCGCTTCTGTGTATCAGCTGTGCTGACGTGTCAACACGGAGGGTCGGAAAGCCGGTGACGTCATTGAAATCAAGTCTCTCATCTGGTCCAGATAACGAGACTTAACTGAACTGAATCCTGGTCCTGCCTCTGTGAGATTCTTTTTTCATCAAACATCTCTCTTGCTGTGCAGCGACATGTATGGAAGTCAATGAGTGCCCTTCTTTTTTTCTTCTTTTTTTTCTCCTCCCTCAACTGTGAAGAATATTGGACTTTTTTTGTTCTCTCACTTATAATACAAGCCTGAAAACTACTTCTATGTGGATTTTTTCTTTATTATTATTCAGTGATTTTGTGGTTTAGAAACAAAAAGGAAATATTGTGTGTATATGTACATATATCTGTCTGTAGTCATTCATTAAGGGTCTGTATTATATAGTGTCTGGTCCTTGTGTGTCGGGTAGTATAAAAAATATATATACAAGGTTAATTCTAAAATCCTAAATTGCCAGGAGGGATACCTGGCTGGCACCCCTACAAAATAAAAGTAAACTAAAAAATTAAAGAAAAGGAGATACCTTGGAAACTGTCACAATGTGACTACGAAATAAGGGTATCCAGGGACTCCAGGGGATTAATCATCAAATTAATCGTTATCGGCTAAATACTACAATTAATCGTGATTAATTATTTTTGCCAAAATTACCCAACCCTAAACATATTGCTGCTTTTGCTGCTCAAATTTCTGTATTAGTAATGTTGTATCAAACAATATCAAACAAACTCGTAATTCTGAGATAAATTTATTTCAAGCTCTTTTAGTTGACATTTGTCTTACGGCTGCATGATATTAGGAAAACCTGCCTTGTGCAATAACTGCTTAATAATGTGATGACAAAATGACTTGGGATAAAATAACAAATACATAAGTATGTAGTCTTGTCTTTCTGCTCTTTAATTATGAAGAGATCCATCCAATTGGCCAAATAATTGAAGGGGCTCCATTTGATTGGTGAAATACTTCAGTCTGAGTGACAAAACATATAATGCAAACTTTTGAGCCAACCATTTATTGCAGTTTATGCAGTTTTTTGTGATATGCATATTGCACAGGCTGGTATTGCGATGAGGATAAATTTTGATATATTGTGCAGCTCTATTTTGTGTCACTGTTCTATGCTCATGTATTCCTTCTGCACAGTGGCTCAGACAAGAACAACCTACCAAACCAAACTTTTCATTCAAAATAAGTTAGTTTTTCTTTGTGTTTTGTCTTAAAGAGWACTAGGATCAAAATAAATGTTAAAGCTGCTGTCAGTGGCTCATTATGGTCACCATGGTAACCACACCTCTGTCTGTTACTCCCTGACTGCCAAGTTAAAGAGGGACTGAAGAAAAACAAAACTAAGCCTTAATCACATAGATGCTACAAGAAAACTACTACTAACTCAAATCTGTTTGAAGCGTGCAACAAAGGCTCTGATAGCCACAGGTGTAAATTATTGTTTTTTTTATAGACCCTCCACTCCCAGTTATAGAATTATTTATTTTATTGAAAATACAAAGCCGATTCTGACAAGGTTCGTATGTTGGGCAAAATAAAAATGAAAAAGAAAGCAGTGATTTGATAGCAGCAACACGGCTCAAACGTTGGGCCAGTTTATGGATCCCCTTTCCTTTAACATCTTATGCCTTCACACCTTGAATTATAAACAGGACATATTTACCACTAATAAGGCTTATAAATCCTTATTTTAAAAACAATATTACATTTAGTGAAATAGTATTTTAGTTCCAGTCGGGTTTATTTTTGGCCATCATTTCACCAACATCAGATAACGTGTTGAAAGTGTGTGTAATGTGTGTTTAACATCTGTTCAAAGTGTGTTTAATATCTGTTTAATGCAAGTGTACCGTGTGTTTAACTTGTGTTTAACATCTGTTTAATGTGTGTTTAACGTGTTTAACATCTGTTAAATGTGTATTTAACATCACTTTCACGTGTGTTTAATAGGGGTGCATCGATACAGAAAATTCACGATTCAGTTTGATACTTTAGTCTCACGGTTCGATATTTTTTCGATACAAAAAAGAGAAATGTCCATACCCCTTTTAAATTGTAATTTATTTAAATTAATTATGAACATTTGTTTAACCTCAAAAGTACAGTTTTTAAATTAAATGTTGCTGAAACAGCAAGTTTCTCATTGGATCTGCGCTCAAAAATGCAGCCTAGGTGGAGTAGTCGAACACAGATCCACTGATCCTTTAACACAGAGCATCTTCAGAAGACAAGTTGATAAAGTAAATTTTAAAAATCTGTATTGTTCCATGCAAGTGTGTACTGAAACTAAAGCACTGTTCGATACGGTTCGATATGGATACATGTATTGTTGCACCTCTAGTGTTTAACATCACTTTCACGTGTGTTCAGCATCACTTTTATGTGTTTTTTAACATCACTTTCATGTGTTTAACGCATGTTTACGTGTATTCAACATTTGTTTAACATGTGTTTAATGTCTAACGTGTTTAAAATGTGTTTACGTGTGTTTAATGTCTGTTTAATGTGTGTGTGTAACATCTCTTTTGTCTGTTTAACACGTTTAATGTATGTTCAACATGTGCTTAACATGTTTCTGCTCAGATTAACTAAAGATTCTCCACGGTTCAAGGATGAACTAGACATCATGAAGTTCATATGTAAAGACTTCTGGATTTGTGTGTTCAAGAAGCAAATTGACAACCTTCGAACGAATCACCAGGTAAGTGTAAATAAGGGGTATTGATATGATTCTGCTCCCCTGCCGTGCACACTTCGGCGCCATTCATTTGCGTCCTAATTTATACAGCGTCCACTTCGCTCAGGTCCGTTCTGGTGTGAAGCACAGAGGATTTCCAGGCAGAGTGGCAAATGTGAGATGGCGCGATTAATCCAGTGATAAATGTGGAAGTCAGAACAAAATAATTCATTCTGTGGTCGACAGATTCCAAACGCAGTTGAAACTGCATTGCTGTCAACTTTTTGAAACTTATGGCTTCAAAATAAAATCCACGTGTATCTTGTGTGTAAACGCTGCACGCTACATGTTGCCATCTGCTTCTACAGAACAAAACATTTTAACAGCATTTGTGTATAAATATATGCAAATATTTATGTTTTATATAGCAGGGATTTTGACAAAATTAGTCTGTCTTGTGTGAATTATTTTGAAAATACAGATGTTGTGCGTGTTCCTGTAGGGGTTTTGGGTATATTCTAAAATGGATAATTTGTGAATTATTTAAATGTGCAAATTATCTTACATCGAGGCACCACGCTCTTAATTTGGTCAAAAATTAACCCAGGAAAGAGACGAAAACCTGTAACTTTATTGTAATCAGTCTCACAATAAATGTACCCAAAATGGTTTGATGAGTCCTTGTCCTTATCAGAACCAATAATACTTTATCAAGACACAAAAGTGAGATTAATTTTTGTTGGCACGTTCTCCAGGGGCCATTTATTTACAGATTAAATATATTTACAACTATGGTGAGTAATGAGTGATGACATGTTGAACCAGGTAAAACTGACAGAGTTTGCAATCACGAGTGAATAAACAAACAAACAAACAAACAAAAAATTAAAATAAACAGCGAGAGGTGAGTTTGAGGCTTGGAATGAGGTGAGGTGAGTTTTGCTTTTAGCTTTTTTTTAACTAAGGGTCTTAGTTAAATGGAAGAGAAAAATTGTTTAGTTTATCAAATCTCATACAAAGATAAGAATCAAATTACGTCTGAGCACCTGTTTGTCACCAGGACAAATGTTCACTTTTACCCTTTTGTTCCGCCGTGTGGGTACCAAGAGGGGAAGTCAGCGATTGAAGGTCATCTCTGGGGGTCGTTTCCCAGGTAGGCTCTTCATGCAAGCTGGATGTCAGGCGGTCTGCCTGTAAAACTCGACTGGTCCCGTGGTCAGAGAAGGGGGTCACTCCCTGGTGACAACGTGGTCTGGTCCTCTTAGGCGGCTGCAAGACTTCTTAATTTGATTTCAACTTTGTAGAGAAAACGAACTAAAAACGACGCATGAATTACAATGAGCTTATTTAACTTCTATAAAATCAAACTCAGATGTTGAGTCAATATTAAACGTCGGGTGTTCGTTCAACCCAGCGGGAGATGCAGAAGGGCCACCATCCTGCCCAGCCCATGAGGAGGGGCTGGCAGGCAGGGCCTCTGCTGAGCTTCTGGAAAACTGTTTCTGACTTCTGATGTTGAAAAACTCTCTTTCTCTGTCTTCTTCCTTCTTTGTTTTCTTCTTCTGTCCTCTCTCTGTTGGGAGCTGCTCTAACTTTGAAAACCTCTGTTATGGGCGGAGTCAAGGTTTTAGTTGGCCAATAAAAATACTACACCTTATACAGGAAAAGTTTTTTAACAAATCAAATCTGTTTTGGAGGGAAAACTTTACTTCAGGACAAAGAAAAAGGGAGTATTTTAGTTTAATTATCTTGTATATCGAATTAAAGGGAGATACATCTGCTTGCCTCAGTAAAAAAGTGTCACACTTTTAATTAAAGATTCAAGTCCTAAAGTTTCTAAGGATTAAATCATGGAATAAAACACACTTCTTCAGGAGAACATTTCATCAAAACAATTAACACCACACAGTTACCACACTGAGTCCTTAGTGGGCAGACAGTTAAWAAGAGAACACAGTAGAGCTTCAWTGGGTTTTGTTCTTTCTGTAAAAAGAAACAGGTAAATCACATTTCTTTAAGATATATGAAAACAGACAGTTGTATCAAAACATTCAATCTTGTTCTCTTTTTTTCACATTTAATGAAGAATGTAGGTCCTTTGTTCTCAGTCACTGAAGAGTTTGGTTAAAGGCATTTATGATCCCTTTGAAGAGGAGCAAACAGACAGCCCTTATGGTCACTCGAACTCATGGGGGTTCAGGAATGTGGCAATTCTTATCTATTAACAGTAAGGCGTCAGGATGTCTGGTGGGGGTTTGTGTGAGAGATGTTAATTCAAGCCACAAAGGAAGTTCCTTGCAAAAGTCTTTAGAAATAGTCTGAAGTCAAATTGGGGTTTTCTTCCTTTTTTTGAGCCGTTGTCATAGGAACAAGTGAAATCTAATCAGAAATGATGATTTATATGCAGGAAAATGCTGCATTCCTTTACCTGTTGGTGTGAGGTGATGCTTGTAGATTGACTCCGGAGTAGGGTTGGGTACCGAAACTCAGTTCCAGTATGGCACCGGGGCGAATATCCACGGTAGTACACAGACAGAAACACAACTCTAATTTCGGTGCTTTATTTCGGTGCCTCAAAGAAAGCTGTTAATTGCGCCCTCTGGTGTTCACTCTTAACAGTGACAGCCTTGGCACACACACTCCACAGACGCTCTGGTACGCGGTTAGACTCGGCTCGCTGTCGGCCCAATGCGCCTCTCCAAGCGCGCTCCACAGCCGCGCTGTCTCAGAACCTCCTCTCCGGTGGTTCGGGTAGAAGCGAGGACAGCACGATTTAACGTCAGCAGATTTCTGCCCGTGGATTAACTCGCTTGGATTGACTGACAGCAAGTTTCCTRCTGGAGAGAGCTGCTTTTGTTTAAAATGAGCGCGCGGCGCAATACAGCGACATGGTGAAATAAAACTGTCATTTTGGGAAAGGCACAACTTGGAAACACTTCCTGGAGAGAAATGAAGGAGACGAAGCTGAGCAGATCACGGGAGMTTTTCAACAAACTGGCCACACAGTTACACAAGCACTTAGCCAAACAGCACCGTGATAATAAATAAATAAAAGTTAAGTCCGAGCGGTAAGACAACAGTGGCTTTTTTTTATTTAATTTTATTATTATTTTTAACACAACACCAGAAGCCGCTGCGGGCGGTCCGCACATTATCACACCCACTGCGTGGAGACACACGGACACTGAGTAGAACCGACCCAAACCAAAGTCAATCGAATAGAACCAAGTTCATGGAGAGGGGCTGAACAGGTTCCGCTGCAGTTAACAGTTATATATTATATATTATAGTCGAGATGTCGAAAGCAAAATGGTCCAAAGTGTGGTGTCACTTTACAAAACAAGAGGCAGAAACTTCCACCTAATATTTTGTGCAAAGACAAATTATTAATGGTTTTAACTTAACATGTTGGTCAAGTTCAAGTTTGATTTTGACTCAGAAATAYTCATTGCTTCATGAAACTCTGAGTGTGTGTTTGTTTTATTGATTTATTTTTAAAGTACTGATTTAAATACCGTTTAGGAACCGGTACCGTTTTGAAAGTATCGATTTAGCACCGGTATCGAAATAGACCCATTCAATACCCAACCCTATTCCGGAGCAGCTCCAGTGTCCCAACAGTACTGCCTGCCCTCCCGATCAACTCCCCCCCTCCCTGCTGATTAAAGTTATGTTATTTCTGAACAAAGAGATTGTGGCAAAAGCATAACCCCRAATTTACACTAGAAGTGGCTCCGCTCTGCTACTCTTGCACAATCTCCTTCCTGCACATGCACCTCATAGATAAAAGTCCTAAACAGGCCTCCCCAATGCTCAGACTAAATCTACACTTCTTGTTCTACAGTTCTGCTTCAGAAAAACAACAACAACAACATAGTTTTTCAGTGACGAGTATTTTTTGTACCCTTGTGGCTGCTTTGTGTTTTTTGCCTCATATGTCTGAGTGCAGACGTTTTGGTTTTATGTTTCAGGGTGTTTACGTTCTGCAGGACAACAACTTCAGATTTCTGAGTAATCTGTCAGCTGGAAAACAGTTTCTGGATCACGCTCCAAAGGTGATATGACTAATGTTCAGAACACTTTACAATTTGTTTAACAAATAAATGCTGGCATCTCATTTATTTGTACAATTTATATGTTTTACAGTGTTTGTTTGTTGAAAATTCTGTTATAACTTTTACTTAAGTTATTGATTCTGATTGCATTTGTATCAAAGAAAGAAAAAGCTGTTTAAATCTCTCTCTTCTTTTGAAATACAGTACTTTTAGTCATGAGGATCTAAATGATGCAGGTTCAAGTCTTCTTACAAGACCAGGCCAACATGATAATGACTCAAAGCACACACAAAGACAATGTAGGAGAGGAGAAAAAAATCGTATAGGTCTTCTGGACGGGTTCTTCTCTAATGAAACGTTTCGTCTCTTCTCCAAGAGACTTCTTCAGTCTTCAGTCAGTCTTCTCTTGGAGGAGAGACGAAACATTTCATTAAAGAAGAACCCGTCCAGAGGACCTATACAAATTTTTTTCCTTTTGATTTTTTACCTGGATTACTGAGATGCATCAGGACATTCAGTGACACAGTATCAATACAGTTTGGCAATGTGTCAAAACGCTTCATGACACATCATCTACCATCACTAATTTGTACTTTATCAAATTTAGTGTTTGTTTAGAGTTTCAGGCAAAATTCTGGCTTTTTAAGCCCAGCCTCCGTGTGACTGATACTCACATCACATGGCTATCGTTGACACCTAATTAACACGTATTGTTAACAGGGGGTGGAGTGAGACTCCACCAGAGACTCTGCAGTTTTCACTCATCTACAGGCCAGCGGTCACTCTTTCAGAGATGAGGATGTTCTCATTCTTGATAGAGAGG